GAGAAAATCCCAGCTTGTCAAACATGAACACCTCAAAAGTGAAGTTGCCCACATGTCTTAAGAGAGCATATGCACCAAAGTCAATATTATTTTTGATACAGTTCAGCGAAGTTGTCGGTCAGAGTGCAATCGTTGAATTGGACGTCCCATGAGGCTGTTCCATACACAAGGTGAGCATAGGGGCGCATATGTTCGAACAGATGTCTGTGCATGCAGGGAGGGATTTTCTGGACAATAATGGGGGCAAAAAAAACAACATCATGATAAATGTGAACAGACATGGGGCGAAAATAAGAGGTAAGTAGTAAATGCAAAGAAGCAGACATACAGCTAGGTCAATAGCAGGGATGTTGAGCTGAAACCAAACAACGTTGAATTGAAGGACGTCTGGAAAATGAATGCTACAACTTTTCGGGCATGCTTCGCGATTGAACAATAACAAACAAAAGAGCAGGCATTACAAAAATTATACTAACAATTAATTTCGCAAAAAACAGGGAATGGAATACGATAATCATAGCAGTAAGCCCAGGTTGTTAGGTGGGCAGGGTGGGGGGAGAGTGCATGCAAATAACCTGTAATTGATACTAATCCGTAATTTTTGCTAACAATTACAAGGTTATATTAAGTGATACAGCAAATAACCTTGTAATTGTTAGCAAAAATTAATGGCTGCATGCAGCATTGAAACACCCATACAAAAATTATACTAACAATTAACTTCGCAAAAAACAGGGAATGGAATACAATAATCATAGCAGTAAGTCCAGGTTGTTAGCTGGGCAGGGTGGGGGGAGAGTGCATGCAAATAACCTGTAATTGGAGGCATTAAGGAGCCTCTATGCACAAAATGGGCAAGCTTATGCTCAAGTTCATCCTTGCTTCTGAAGTATTTTGGCAGGAGCCTCCAGTAGCCTGAAACTTGCAAGAATCGTCTCCAATCGTCACTGGCCTCGCAGGTTTCCTCACCGGTGTTTGTTTGTGTAACTACAGCAACCTTGAGTTTTCTCCCATGGACTATCCTGACGAAGTATGTAACAGTTTGAGCCTGAGTGTGTTGGCTTGCTCTTTCAACAACACAAGAGCTGAGCAAATCCATAGACCCTGAAAAGAATAAACAAATGATTAAACTATATTTATGCAAACGAATTGGGAAATAAAATACAAAGACATTCGGGCAGTCGACACCGCATGCGCTGCTCTCTGGATAGAAGCAACTGTAGATGTGCACACAGCAAGAAAGAGAGGGAATCGGTGGGGAACAGCATACCTGGTTGGCTGGGATGTAGCTGGAAGCCCGATGAACTTTGTTGGGGGAGAAGAAGGCTGGCAAGGCAGCGGAAGCGAAGAGGCAGAGATATTAGAAAGACCGGTTGTAGTTAGCACGGTCTTATAAAAGATGAAGGGCCAGTGGGGCAATTAATACAAGCGGCTTGCTCGTGTGCTAAAAACTGGCAATCTAAATAATTATTAACATGAAATAAAATACATACATACATATATATATATATATATATACACACGTAGAATTTTGGAATAAAATATGGGAACACTCTATTTGAGTTAAAATTGCTATGTTATGATGCACAATAAGGAAATGGACGACATTATATGAAAACCGCAATGACTTTTGCAGTGGTTAATTCAAAAATTTATTTAATACGGTATATAATTTGGTAACATAGGGATTAATATTGTGGTATTAATACTACGGTAACATAGGGATTAATATTAAAGAGTTATTTCAGGGGCATGGGTAACAATGCATGAACAACGAAGTTGGATATTTATTTTATATTGTCATCAAAGTGGTTTGCAATTGAGTGTGGTGGATTAATACTTTATTCCACTTCAATCGCATGGTGATTAGTAATTAATCTCATCTCTATTTTCGTTTCGATGGAAACTCAAATAGATTACGATTGAAATCGGGTGAGTCAAATTTATAGGATTTTATCGATTATTTTATATGACGCTGTTGATTTTTTTGACATATTGCTTGGAATGGTTTGGTTTGGTTGATTCTTGTAATTTAAGGGGAAAATAATGTGGAAAATTATTTCATTTAAAAAACAAAGAAAAAGTGGATGCAAAGATAGCTGTAACAGGTATGTATAGTAATGTTAGTCATCATGGGGAAAAAGAGAATAACGATATTACTTTTCCTGATTATTTTGTAATTGATTGGTTGAAAAGTAAATATTACGTATTCGGGAAAAATGGGTTGACCAAAATGGAAAAATAGGCCTTCAAACGGGACCGTAAAAATGTTTTCTACTTGTGTTAAAAAGTGCTTTGAGGAAGATCATTCTGTAATCGGAACCAGTTAGGTTTGGTACTTTTATTGCACCAAAGGATCATTTTTGCTTATGTGCATTTGACTCACATGCCAATCATACTAAATGGTCCATTGTAATACGTGAATGTGATAAACAAATTGTGTGACTATGTAATATACTATGTAATGTTTAACTTGAATAAAGAACCATGCATAGGAAGTTCATCAGAGTGGTTAAAAGTAGCAACCAGAGCAAACACAATTAGGGAGGGGAGTTTTTTGGATCTGCATGCAGAGCTTAGCCGCGTCGGGAAATTACAACGCCATAGGTACGAAGATGAAGTGGGGGGGATGAAGTTGAGGGTCCCTAAAGAACAGAGAAGCGCTCTGTGTGCAAGTGACCGATGACGAAGACAGAGACGTACTAAACCTACGACGTTCTGAGAGTGGGAAGCGGGAGTGCTGAAAGAGTGAAATGCATGAGAGAAGGAATTTAGAAGAGGAACAGGTGCAAAAAGGTGTTTCTCGGGTGGATGCAAAAGGGCGGCACCCGGTATTTCATTGGCTACTGGTGCATGTTTTGTGGTAGAAATTGTGTCAAAAAAACCTGCAATTAATATTGTTGAAATCAGTTTTAAAAAAAAATGGGGCAGGTGTGTACGGATGTTGGGAGATTTAAATGGGGCAATAAAAGGAAGTGATGTGTTCTTGCTTAAGTTGTTTTCAAAAATACAAGTTCTATCTACATTTAACAAATCCAACGCTGCATGCATCGACACCCATTTGAGTATACCAAATCTCAAGCACTGATGAGCTACGGAACCAGCCCGCAATTGGTGTACAGTTAGGCTACTGTATATATTCCTTTATGTAATATAAGGAAAAAAGATAAGGCACAAACATAATGGTTAATGGTAAAACAAAGTATTGGACTTTAGAACAATTGGTGTTGGTCAAAGCTAGAACGGTTTGTTCTAAGCTGATATAGGTTTTAATTGCATTTTAAATAGTTAATGTACAATTGTAGTTTTAAAAATAGTAGGTTAATGTTGTGTGAAACATTATATGTAGTGAACATGGGAAAACAAGTTAGTGTTGTATGGAATAATAATTGAAAATTAGGATCATTGAACTCAATAGGTGTTAAAAAGTATCAATGGTAAGGGTGAATATAAGTGCTGTGAACAAAAGATGTGGTATCATTTTGGTTTAAATTTAGTATTTATCATCTAATAAGCAATGAGAAAAACAACACAAAAGTGGAGAATGAAAAAAATGCAGTGCAAAAGGCCTGACATAGCGGGCATCAAAAGAGGGTGACACATGAAAATAACAAACGGATTCAGAGTGAGCAAAACCAGGTGGCTAATGCCATCATGTATAGTATCTTACATTACATCTGCAAAACATTGGTTGGTGGGCAAAGTTATAGTGTCGTTAAAGCATGATGCACCAGCAAGTAAGGGCAATATATGCCGCATACTGGCAATGTCTTATGCAAAATCAACGGACACAGGGAAAAACCATATAGGGTGCCCACAGTTCGCTTCATTATTTATTTGCGACATCTACATACATATTTACGCGTCAGGGTAGTGTCTGCGCAACAAAAGAAACACAAACAAGTACGAAATCAAAGATTGGTATTTTGGCGCCTATTCACGCGCCCGCTGACCAGTAACTCATCAGATGTAATTTGGCTGGTTTGTACGGCCTCAGCAGACAGGTCACCCTTGGGTGAGGGCATGTCTTCATGTGAGTTAAAATGTAATTTCCTTTTTGCCTGGTTTGTTGCAGCACATTCTGCAGCAGGCAGTGGAGTTGGAATATCCAGCAAAGTATTTTCTGCAACAAGACCCTGTGAAATGCACACCACAGTATACGGGTTGACCTGAAGGCCGTCCTCATTACATCTAGCACGCTTTACACCGGCCACAAAGGTAAGTGCCTGAAGTTTTGCATCTAAGGTTTCCAAGTTGATGGCTGTGTAAGGATCCATATGTGCATATTTGAAGAGTGCTAACACTTCATGGGTGAAAAGTGTCACATGGATGGAGGTAGTGGCATCAGTCAGGGAAGCTTCAAGTCTAAAACTGTAAAAAAAATTATTCATTAGCATAATATGGCGGGTGCGGTGTAAGTAAGTTTAGGGAGACATACCGCTTCACAGTTGTGCCCATTTTCTGGCCACAGAATAGGCATTCAAAAGTAATCCCCTCAGAAGCATGCACTTTGCGATTACAGTAATCGCAACCAACATAGTAGAACTGTTCTAATGGGTTAGTCAGAGCAAACTTGCCAGCTACCCAAACAACAGAGAACTGCATGAGAAAAACATGTGGACGTAAGTAAGCAGGAAATTGTTTATTTTGCTGTAGTTTTTGTGGCAACTGTTTCTTGCACCACAACAAAGTGTATGGGGCGTAGAGACAAACCTCATTCAGACCACTCTCCAATTCTGAAAGGACTATTTGATGCTGCAAAAGTGGTTTGGCAATAACAGTAAGAGCATCATCATGCGCCCTTTCTTGGAGAAATGTAGAAACCTTTTCAGCGTTGTGATGAAGCCTAGAGAAATGGGGATAAGTGTGAGACCACAGGTAGTCCATGCTTCTTAAATGTATGAAAAAATTTTGGGGCAGACGACTGCAGGGGAGAAAAGAGAATGACAGGGTGAAAGTGGTTGTGTGGATTTACCAGTGCTTCAATAACTCAGCACGTTCGCCATGAGGGTTAAGTTCCATGTTGCAGTCAAATCGAGTAGACAATGTTAGACCTGACAATGAATTAAATGTTGAAGTTCAAATTATGATTGCATAGCTGAGTACACTGCTTCAACTCCAACATTGTTGAAAGTGCTTCTAAAAAGGGTGGTTACCTTGGAAGAGGTTGACAACAACCCGGTTTATCAGAACAAGCGGGTAGTCTCCAGCATTGAGAATTCTTTCAATTTCGGCGCCTTGGTGGCTCACAAATTCTTCCCACATTGTAAATGGGATTGGAATACACCTAAAAAAGTACAGGTAAATAAAACACAAACCTTGTGAATAATTTATTCCAGGGAAACACAAAGAACTACAACGTAGAGTATAAATGGTGTATACTCTTCATTAATAAGCACGACATCCCAGGCAATGCGTTGTTTGCTGTTCGAAACAATAAAGTTGCGGGGTAGTTTTTTGACAATAGCACCCAATATATCTGCAACATAAAAGTAAATTTTATATATGAGGGGTTAAAGGGATGTATTAATTGAATTTGCAATCAAGAGTGTATACTGATTCGTGTTTCGTGGAGGAAACTGTTAAAGATGTCTCCAAATGGTATAGTTTCTGCCTCAGCAATTTGGCGATAATTTGGACCTTCTGCTATATCCACATCCTGGATCAGTGTGCGCCTATTGAATGACCAAACATATGGATATGCATCATCTACACTGAAACGCATGTCAGCTATTGTTTTCACATAGGCATTTGACACAAGGTACGTCGAATACAGTATCAAGCGTTGATCGATCCCTTGTATATCGCCCTGGAATGCAGTAGCTTGGACTTTGGTACCCTGAAATGTAATTTCATAAAATGTCAAGATGAATTGAATTGAAACGTCTAACATACACATACAGATATAGTTGCATGGTTATTTACTCTGGAATCTTGCAAGATCATCGGCATAAACTTTAAGGGTGAGCTCTTGGCTGTGCGGATGTTTTGTTTTTCTACCAATGTCACACGACAGGTCCAGTCCCGTGTGTTTGGGCTCACTTCCACAATTGGAACCTCAGATGCCATGATAATGAGGACTGGCAAACAGAAACAAGATAAATGAGAAAACGGCCAATGAAACGCGTGCAGGAAATCAAATGCATAGACTGGGAAGGGAAAAGTAACGGACAAAAGTGCAATGGAACCTAATTAATATAAGGCAAGAGTTCTTCATAAACGACATTCAGCGTTGTAGAAGCTAATGTTGGCTGGGGGTCATCAGGGCAAACAACAATTTTGATTGATTGTGCATTCCGTGCTCTGGACATGGCCACATATAACTGGCCATGTGAGAAAACTGGTTCTTTTAAGTAAATTCCAACAAAGTCTAGTGTCTGTCCCTGCGACTTGTTGATTGTCATTGCAAAGCACACTTTGATGGGGAATTGGACACGCCTAAATGGGATTGGACAGTTTTCATCCTTCGAAATTTCCAGTGGTATTTTGGGGATGAAAACATGTTTCCCTTTGTGGTCACCAGATGAAATAAAGCAACTTAAAATGTGATCACCAAATGAATCACAGATCAATCTAGTGCCATTACACAGGCCCTCACATGGATTTAAGTTACGCGGTAACATGATAGGGCAGTTATGTTTGAGATTTAATCTGTGAGGCGGTAACCCAGCTGGAGATAATGTGTGCAGGTAATCCTCGCAGTGCATATGTTTACCATCTACAGGCACATCATGGCTAAGATAGGTGTGGTCTTCGCCGGGAAACTTCCCCACCAACGTAGCGTTGATAAAGTCAACTATGGAATTTTTAGTTGTTAGAATGGCTCTGCCCATCAGAGAGTATGGTGCAGTCTGGAATAACTGTAAATCTGGGTACACTGCAGCGCATAGAAGTGCTAGCGAGGCGGTTTCGTTAATCCAAGGAAGCAAAAAAGTGGATGGAATCTTAATCCTCCCAGGCGTGATAGTGTATTCAGTGGCATTACCAATGCGCATCAAATAGGCACAGAAACTGGGGTCTTCATGGGCGCGCATGTTTACAGCAAGTTGTAGTCTCTGTACGTGTGGCCATATTGTTTGTGACCTGAGCAGACATGCGTCAATAAAATCATGTCTATTCCCTGATCGAACTACATGCAGCGTTTGTCTGAAATCACCCCCGAAAACCATAACTTTACCACCAAAAAGGGAATCTACACCCAAAATGTCCCGCAGTGTTGTATCCAAACTTTCAACAACTTTACGGTTAGCCATGGATGCCTCGTCCCACAGAATAAGTCTTGCTTCTCTAAGAAGTCTAGCCTCTGAAGATTGCTTCCCGATGTTACAAACATATCTGTATTCCCCATCAAGTGGCAATTTGAACCGTGAATGCGCAGTACGACCTCCGGGTAGCATAGATGCGGCAATGCCTGAGCTGACAGTTGCAAGGGCAACCCATCTGTTGGACCGTGTTGCAGCCAGCAAGCATCTGTATAGAAAACTTTTTCTAGTTCCCCCCGGACCATCAACAAAAAAAGTTGCTCCTTCATTTGCACGTACCGCTGCCATGATAGTCTCAAATGCTGATCTCTGCATGTCATTTAAGGAAAGAATGCTATTAAGATCTGCATCACTGACAGTTATGTTGTATTCGGCCATAATTTCACGCGTTGCTGGCTCAGTCTGAACTACATTGAACACCCCATCAGTCAAAGCAAAAGTGGCAATGTTCTTTCCCATGTCGACTAAAAGTCCATGCAACAAGGTTAATGTTGACATTTCAGATTCAGCCTGACTTTGAAATCTGAGAAAGTCTTCGCACAAGGCAGACTTGTACTCTTCCCACAGTGCACGCGGATTAGGAACATTTGAGTAGCACAAATGGGTGGCGAACAGTTTTCGTAGGCTCGTTGGAAGCTGGAATATTGCGGCTTCGTCAAGTGATGCACGAATAATGAAGTCACCTGCTAATAACCCCAGACGTTCAGCTGCATCCCTAAACGTAGGTGCCACAATGCCATCAACAGATTTAAGATTTGCAAAGGAGATGGGGGAACGCACATTGGACAACAAGAGACGGAGGTAATAGCGTTCACCCTCGATGGGATTAACTGAAACAAGTCTGCCAAGCACTTCCTGTAACACCCCGGCCCCACCGGACCCGAGGTAGTTACTCCGGACCAATAGTACTGTCCCCACAAACCACCACGAGCCTTTACCGCGCACTTTGTCCTCACTCATGCGCGCCCTGAGAAAACTTCCCAGGGGGTCACCCATCCCAAGACTACTCCCGTGCAAGCACACTTAACTTTGGAGTTCTTAGCGGATGAGCTCCCGTAAAAGGAGATGCACCTCTGTTGGTATGAGTAGTACTATGAATCCTCTTAAATTAATCTCGGGTATTACAATCACCCCCACTTAGGAACGCAACGTCCTCGTTGCGCCCATAAACCAATCTCAATCAAATCCCAGAATCTTTTCCCCTGCTAAGTGCCCGCCCGATATCCAACGGATCAGCACACTGTCGCAGGGTTGCTCTGATACCACCTGTAACACCCCGGCCCCACCGGACCCGAGGTAGTTACTCCGGACCAATAGTACTGTCCCCACAAACCACCACAAGCCTTTACCGCGCACTTTGTCCTCACTCATGCGCGCCCTGAGAAAACTTCCCAGGGGGTCACCCATCCCAAGACTACTCCCGTGCAAGCACACTTAACTTTGGAGTTCTTAGCGGATGAGCTCCCGTAAAAGGAGATGCACCTCTTTTGGTATGAGTAGTACTATGAATCCTCTTAAATTAATCTCGGGTATTACACTTCCCGTCTTTTACGTTGTGTCCATTTCCTGTGCTGAGCAGACCACACAAAATAGGTAGGAAATTCAACATACAGCAGATTTAATGACCTAGCTGTTTGATCTGAACTATTCATGGCGAAAAATTGGGTCAACATTGTGCTTAATGATTCAGCGGATCCAGTTATGTAAGTTATACGTTGGTTACCATGGAAGGTGAGGTATTGGGAATTTTCTAAGTGCACTTGCAGCTGGAGCACAGCAGGCTTCATTTCTGAAATTGAAAATCCAAAAATTCGCCACGCAGCTTCAGGGGCAGACACCCAACGGGCCTTTTGGAAATTACTAATTTCATCAATGACCTCGCTGGTACTCACGCCCGCCAACGACATACTAACACGATCGTGCCCTTTGTACACATATTTGTAGATATATTTGACTGATCGAACACTCGCACAGGCCTCAACATTTATGTGGCAATCATATTTGCGCAACAGAAACACATTGTAGGGTACAACCCAACAGTTATTCAGGTCATGTTTTCTCACGTGCACAATGATACCTGAGGCGCGCCTCCTGTAGGTGGGAAATGAGTTCTCATCGAAGGCCGTAACAGGTGCAAAATCACGCGGGTATTTGCTCCTGCAAGAAGGCATGACATCACCATGTTTGCTAACCATGCAAGGGCATTGCATGTTCATAGAACCACACGGCCCATGTATCATATGTTTCTTCACAAGTTGATATAGTGTTGGATCCACTTCAGGATCAGGTATTTCGGCGGTGATGAGCCTATCACAATGGGCACAAGATGAGCAGGAAGTGGGCATGCGGTAGCCCACGTTTTTGGAATTCAATCACATATGTGTATGCGACCACCTTCCCCAGCAACGCCTTTCCTACTATGTCTTTTTTAAAATCTTCAAGACGTGCGCGGAATACGCGGGCTACAAGTTCAGGGCGATTCTGAACCTCATCAGCAAAGGCTAGGCGATCCTTTATCTCCGGCCAATTGGGATTACAAGTGATAGTAATGAACAAGTCTGGTTTCCCGTAATGTTGGACGAGCGTCATTGCATCCATGTAACGACCGCGCATATCACGTGGACCACCAATGAATGAACCCGGGAGGACTATGCGCTTGCCAACATCACTGGTGTTGTCAAAACCTGACCCAATACTATCAACCAAACCTTGGTAAGTGTCAGACCTACATTCACGCTGTTTACTACGATAATAATCCAACCGTTGTGTTTCAATCTTAATATATAGGTCAACTACATACTGTTGAAATAACCGCCCCGAATGCAGAATGAATGAAGAGGTCCCGTGACGTATCTGTAGTTTGTATGCATAGTATTGCCGGCAAGACACTGATTGTAGTTTACTACCAGCCGTGTGCAGCTCTTCTTCGTTCACAATTAAGGCGTCTGATGTTTCAATTCCAGGCCGAACTATCGTGATTGATGCAACAGGGAGGGAGGGAGTCTGTACCAAAGGAGGACGACCTTTTGGTATTCCCTCATGCCAACCAAACTCTCCAAGGGGAAACAGGAGGGGGTATTGTAGTGGATCATAACATCCATAGTAGTAATGAATGTTCTGTGATTTCCCGCTGTGTGCGTAAACGCGGATACTTCTATTTGATACAATGTTGTCGTCACCATCTTCAACCCATACTGCAGCAACCTGGGATGTTGTAGGCCGATTGTATACGCGTTGATCAAGTCCTGGATCCCCGTTTAAGATTATGGAAAACTCATCGTGCTGATCTATTTCAGCCAATGTTTTGAAGAATTGTGCGTATGGGTTGTTGGACATGACATCCATCAAACGTGTAACCACATCTTTGTCTAGACGGTCAGTGGAGGACAATCTGGCATCAAGAGCCTGTTCTGTATCATAAAAATACAATTGCAGGTTTCTAGGTGGGCTAGCACCGGGCAAGAGAGCGTCTATGAAATGATAAATTTGGCCTTGAACTCTGAAAGTGTATATGCCCTGGTTGCACTTGCACAAGTTTTTGTCAAAGTTGTAGATTCCTATTGATGTAAACGCAAACGTATTATTGTACGTACGAACGCAGGCACGGAATTGTTTTGACTGGGGGTCATCAGATGTGTATAATGATTTCAACTGCTCTGGCATTTCGGATGAGGTGAGAACAACTTCACCCTTGCTACAGCACATGGTGGGAGCCTCATACTGTATCCGTTCAGCTCCGCAGAACACACAGTCTGGCACATTCGTAAGGCGATATATGGATGGAGGAAC